AAAAAAAAAAAAAGCAGAAAAAAAGTGTAAAATTGTTGAGCACCTTTTTTCCTTTTTCCTTTTCTTTTTCTCCCATTTACATTTTGCATCTGTTTTAAGTAATCAACGAAAAATAATAGGCATTTGGATATATAATATTAATCACAAAAGCTTTGGTTATCGGATTCCTGAGCAGTATACTGATTAATTTGTTGTGGAAACTGAGTTGAATTTGAAGTGCTGACAGTTTGGCAAATTTTCGGAAATTTTTTGTTTCAACAGCTTTCATTGCTGCCTGAAAAAAATTTTTATACATTGCTGCTAATCATTGTAACCTTCAAAATTAAACCATAAAAAATTGTTGTAACTGTCTTGAGAATTGACTATGAGAATTGAGAATCGAATAGTTATTCATCTGTTAGGTTGTTATCAAATTAAAGGATTGAACGACAAGTAACAAGGAAAAAAAGACACATTCACCTTATTTTACCACCACTAATTTTATTCTTATACCGGGGAAAGACGAAAAAAAAATAGATAGTTTATAAAAACAGAAAGATCCTTTGTTTTTATTTTCCTTTTTCGCTATCACTGTGTCAGGAAAAAAATTGTCTTAAAAAGATGCTTAATTTTTTTAAAATTACTAACTGATAATTGTTAAAATTTTTGTCGTTCTAAATTTCTTCTATTATTTTTCGCTGAAAACAGCTCATATTTGCTCGGTATATCTGTAAAAAAAGTTTCATCACCTATACCCAATTTTCCTATTTTTCAACAATGACATTTTAGCAAAACATTTTTTAAGCTTGACAAATAGTATAGTGTACAGAGATTTTTGTAAACTAACTAAACATATGAGATACAGTTGCATTTTTGAACTTACATCAACAGCTGTAGCATTACAGGTGATACCGTCATCAGATAGGAAATAAAAACCAATCTCTCTCATTCTCATCAATTTTGTACCAAGTTTATTGTCACCATCAAACTGTATCAAAAATGGTAGAGTATCCCATTGAATTTCTGTTGGTTGATATACCCATATCCAATTTGTTATTATGCTAAAAATATATAGTCTTTATTTCATCTGGAACAGTCCGTCTCTTTTCTTTGAACAACAGCAAAAAAAAAAAGACTTACAACTTAATGGGGAGGGGGAAAAAAAAAGGAGAAGAAAATTCTTACGAAAAATCTAGGAAATCACATGTTGTTTCTGAACTTGTAGCACATAATGATGACATCAACGTATTGTCGGGTACATAACGATACAATAGGGTGTTTGAAAGTTGTCGAAAGAATTGTCGTGAACCATTTGTTGGTCGAGCCAAATAATAACCACCTAAACCAGAAAAACATCTGATACTGTCCAGGTTTTTTTTTGTAATAAAACATCAGCCTAGCAAGCAGTAAAGAAAGTTCTAATTAGGTTAGATATATAGTTGTTTACACAGTTATGTCAGCAGATAATAAACACAACCAACAGAAACATTGTTGATGTTGCTTTATAAATCAAATTAATTACCGGCTATTAGGCCTCCTAAATTATCACCAGCTAAGTCAAAAATTAAATCAGCATTTTTTTTCTTGGTAAGATCTACATCCAGTAAACTTTTTCTCCAAAATGTATCCTGAAAACATGTGAAACAACAACAAAGAACAGATACGAAACATATAAAAAAATGCTGTTTTTAATGCTGATTTCAAACAGATATCAAAAAAAAAGTTTCTTTTTTTTTTTTTGGTGAATCACAAAAGTATTTTGGCATTTATAAAAATGTTTATTCTAAGTCAAGAGAAAAAAAAAAACCTGCACTTTTTAATGTTTACCAAAAATTCTTTTTTTTTTTTTCTTTAGAGTACAAAACTGAGATTTATTTATTTATCTTATATTTTTTTGACATTTTTTCTTTATAAAGTAAAAAAATAGACAGAAAAAAAAAAGTTGAAAGTTGAAAGTAAACTTGTTGAATCATCCAAAACGGTTTGCCGGCATCAAGCAAAAATTCAGCTAATGTTGATCGGAACAAATAAAACAGCTGATAGTTACCGTCACCACGATTAAACGAACTCTAAACGGTCAGATAAAGTTGTTATCTACAGATTCTACAATCAAAACCCTTTCACTATTTACTACTGAATTGCAAAAAATTTGAATAAATTTTGTAGCTGAAAATTTATAGCCGAGTTTGTTTTGTTAGAAGACAAAAAAAATCTTTTTTTTTTTTTCTAGATATCAATCAGCAAAAAAAAAAGAAAGTTAAAATTTTTAGATAAGAAAATTTATCCAATTGTTAGTTGCCTATTTTGTGAACTATAAATTTTTGAAAACAAATTTAGATTTATCAAACTGCTGGCTGCCGTTTTCTTTTTTTTTTTTTTTTTTTT